AAAAATATGACTGCTAGACACAGTAACATTCTACTTAACCCTGGGCATTAAAGTTCTTCACCCCATACACTAAAATTTGTTTTTCTAGCTAGACTCTGTAGACAAGGAAAGACGGTTTTCGCAAATTGTGCTAAAAGCAGCTCGAGCTGATGGATGACCACTCAAATACAAGTCGAAGGAAGTCTTTTTGTTATATTGAATACGTATTTTGATACAACAAATGCCTTTTGGCCTTGATTTACAGGTAAAATATCAACATCGTCCGCAAATGTCAACGAAAACGGTACAATTTATCGTCAACTTTACAAAAAGTATTCAATATGCTTAAGGGAGAAAATACTGCTCTAAACCCTGACATATTTAGCTTCAAAAGATTGTTTAGATTGGAAAAATTGATGAGGTTATGATGGAGAAATAAGTTGAAAAATTACCTTGGGTGAAGTCGAGGTAAGCCTTTTTATTTTTGTTTTCGGAGTTCTGAGGGGCTATATCCGGTGGACGCTGTACAACAGTTAGTATATCTTGTGTCAGTCGATATGATTGAAAATAATGAATTTCGTTAAGTGAAGAATCGAAATTATTAATTACTTGAATGACTTCTCTATCGAAAGCGGTTATTGTTTTGGACATGAAAAGTTTAACATTATATTTCCGAAATAAGTGTTTGTTTTAGTTCACATCTAGCACTTACGGTCTTAACCAATAGGCAAGACTGTAATAACTTTTTAAAAGAAATATCAAAATTGAAAAAAAACATCGCATCGTCAAAAATCTTGACTGGCTAAGATCTAATCCTGTAAAGGGAGATCACTGCGTGGGAGATTGATCAGGTAGGTTGATATAGTGTCAGAATCGCAATAATAGTTGCAATGGGTTGGGCTTCAAATAGCTCATTAAAACATACCTAAAGTCTTAGTCTTCTGGTTTGTATGTTGTTTATTATATAAATAGGAAATGAACGAAGAGTAAATTAAAAACAAGACAAATAAACATTGTAAAAATACAATTAATATCCTTGTTATATGATACACCTAATCATGTTTAGCAATTATCATTAAGTTAAACAATCAAATAAAAACACTTGCTTTGTTAGTGCATATAATAGTTTAAGGTATATAACTTGCGTTTACAAAAAATAAACAAATTTCTATGTTATTTTTGTACTACTCAAAATTTGCTAAGGGTCACTTTTTCTACAGTGCGCAACTTTTGTGTATTTGTAATAAATGTGAAAATTGATTAAAAGGAATTAAATACATGTATATTAGTTAGGAATTATTTTTCATGAAAATAATGACAATGGAAGTGTTCCTTGATGTGTGCCTGTTGCAGGAAGTGTGTGCTAGACGAAAATCAACATTCTGGAGATCACATAGTAGCAAACATCTTGCAAGTCAGGAAATGGTTGGCGTAGGTTGTTTAATACCGATTATGATTCCGCGGGCCTAGGTTTATCACATATTTTACCGTATGTATGAACCGTATATTTTAATTTGTCAATATTTCGCGCAGTTATTTAGCATAGACTCTGTCAAATTGCTGCAATAGTGCTTGCTTACAAGTGAAATCCTGTGTTATAATAGGTGAAATAAATACTTATGACTGCCAGTATATCACTCATAGTGTAGGAATTACAAAATGTATAGCAGCTCTGCAGAACTTCTTGTAGCCTATGTATTAATTTATGATTGAATTTCCGCAAATTTCTAAATTGACATAGAAATATATAGTTGCTTTTTGTTCCTCATGGCATATTTCACGATTCACGTTCATTAATTTATTGTATTACAATATCAAAAAATAAGACCGCAATAATAACTCTTAGCTGTTTGCGCTGCCGTTGAAAGCCTGATGTCATTTTCTTTACATGCGTCTTTTTTTCAATACTTTATGAGGTAATTAATCATGCTTAAAAACAAGGAAAAACGTTTGTTTGATTTTCGTACAATTTTCATCAGCTAACATAAATGTCACAAAAGGCAATAAATTCAATGAAATTGCACTTCGACTAAGTCCATGATAGTTAACTTGACAGTTGTTGTTACACTGCTGATAGTTTCTTTTTGCTCAATTAACATGTTAAATGTTGTATTGAAACGTACCTGTATTCAGTTTTTACTAGGCTGGGTTCAAGTCTTTGTTTCGGTCAGGAAAATCGACTATATATCAATCAGAAATATTGACGTGATCGTATGAAATAGCGCGTATGTTATGAATAAGCAAAATATCAACGCCTTAATCCCAGGCTAAGATTTTAAATATAAATATGCTTTTTCATCGTAATGTCTCATTTTGAATTTTAAGCATTTGCAACGGAGCATTGTGGTTGTTATTTTATATGTATAAGTAAAACTCTAGAACAATTCTCCTGATAAGCTGAACATAATTGCGCATTTAAAAGTCTCAAACGTATCTGCATACGTCGAATTTAGTTACAAAATTACTCAAGGGGTGGGGACAATAAAATCACATGTACAGAATAAATTGAATCGGTGACCAATATTTTTAGTCATTTCGACTAAGTATACATTTTAAAGGACATTTAAAGATAAAAATAAAACAAATATTACAGGAATTTTTAGATAAGCCGCTTTAAAGCAAAAAAATGCGGCTAAACTGAACGTAAACTTTTACACAAAATTGACAAAACATTTTACGGCGTAAATCGATAAATTTTATATCAGCTTAAAGGAAAAGATAATTTCCGTCGAATGCTGTAGATTTTTAGGTATGTTTACCGCCAATGGCGTTGTGATACCCGTAACAGTTGCCAAGGATACGCAACAACGTCATGTTCAAAACGGGCATTGATGGTCAACTTTGATGTCGTGTGTACAAAAAATGGCCGAAAGTATTTGAATAAAACAACGGAATGTAATCAGAAATATGGTCAACTTTCTGCATGCCAATTTCCAAGACGGTACTTGAAAGTTCGTAAAGTGTTGCGTTCTACCTTAATTACGGCCTGGCATTGCCGCCGCATGCTGCTGATGAGCCTGCAGACCTTGTGATGAGGAGTCTGGGACCATTTCGTTAAGATTGCATGTCTTAGCTTCTGAACTGTTGTTGTTTTGACGTGGCGTGGAGAAATGGCTGTCTGCAGCATATCCCAGGCATGCTCAATTGGAATTAAATCCGGGGACCTCGCTGGCCAGTCAATGCGGACTATAGTTGCCTCCTCAAGATATCGGTTTGTGATGTGGGATCTGTGTGCAAGGGCGTTCTTATCCATAAGAATGAAATCTGGGCCGACTGTGACAGCGTACGTGCATACATGGACGTCTAAGATTTCATTGACGTACCTTACTGCCATCAGTGTGCCGTTTTCACTGATGTGTAGGTCCGTCTTTCTCTGGGCGCTTATTCCCGCCCACATCATGACTGAGCCCCCCAACCCCCACACACACAAACGGTCGTGTTCTGCAACGCATGCTGCAGCTTAGCGTTCATTTGGACTTCTTTAAACCCTAGCCGTCTGTCCGCGAAGTCAAAACATTGACTCATCAGTGAAGAGGAAAGGTGTCCAATCATTTACTGTCCATGTGACATGAGTCTGCGCCCATTGAAAACGCTCTTGAATATGGCGTTGTGTCAGAGGAATGCGTTCGAGAAACGTTGGCGTCTGGCCTGAAGGACAATAAGTCGGTCCAGGGCTTGAGGCGTTGAACGTTCCCGACCTCCGGCGTGGCCCTGCAAGACATTTCCAGTCATTTGGAATCGGTTCCACACCCTTGAAACAACGCTTTCTTTGACATGGGCAACGTGCCTTTGTGAACGGCCATCCTCCAACATTCCAATACCCCTGTTTATCTCATCTTCACTAAGAAGACGTCTAACCTGTTGATTTGCCATAGTTTGAACACAGTTTTACAATAAAACGAGAGAAGTGTTGCTGCTTGTATACGTTATGTGAAAGCACATGGCCATAAAACAACACATTTCTATGGGTATGCTTTTCCACTTGCTTATCATGCAAGGTGTACATGACAAATCGATAACTTAAGTACACAATTACGAGGTCCCCGTTCAGGTGTATCGTTAGCGAAATGATGATAATAGGACTGAAATATGCAATGTCAAAAAGGTGATCCTTAGCAAAATTTGAGTTTTATATATATACTCATATTTACAGATTGTGAGTAACGTTTTAAACGAAATCATTTTAATAACAATACAGAACCCACTTTGCCACCGGTTTCAATGTTAATTTTTGGCTACATGAAACAACGAAACAACGATGATGAAAGGTCGACAGAACGATGGTGAAAACACGAAATTAAGTCGTGCATGTACCACCGTGGTGTCGTTATATCAACTTTTTACCATCGTTTTTTTTCCGTGGTTTTGTCCTTTCGAGTTATGTGTGTCGCAAAGGCCCCTACGGGGGTACTGTTACACGAGGTATCAAGTATTATGATAACTCCATCCTTTGTGTAACATTTCATACACCATGGTATAGAGTGTTCGTGACATAATTAAGCAAGACTTTTGGCTAGGAGTCCGGGTCAGAAAACCTCTCAACGTCCTTTTCAAATTTACTTGATCTTGCCTGAAGTGCGAAATCTGCCATTTTTGTTATTGTTGTTTTTATGATAATCCAGATTTATATTAACTGATATTAATCAAGGTATTCGAATAATCGTAATGATCTATGTAGTTTGTGTATTAAAAACTTTTTAAATAGATAATAACTATTATGATGGCAGTGATGATTTTGAGTTTACTACCAGGAAATCATTAGCGACCGACATTTCCAGCTAAGTTATGTATATATCTCTCTCAGAATACATGTTAACAGGCAATTAACGACAAGCCAAACTATTGGTGAAACCTTCTTTTAATCATATCTGTAAAAGTTGATATTAATCGATAATTTTAGGTAGAGATGTTGTTTAAACACATATATCCACGACAATAACGAATAGACAACTAACAACCGACATGCTTGCAGTCACAAAAGCTCACATCTGAACACTATGCGCGTAAAACAATTGACTTACCACCTCTGTGTTTGATATACTCTGGACTTAACACTGCGGTTTTCTCAAGCCGACTCAATATCTCTGTCGTGTCCTGTCCATTTTCCGCACAAACTATAAGCTTTAATAAGTCAGTCTGCCAGGTCTTTCTCAGACGCTCTTTAAAATCTGTGTAACCATTAGCACCTTTGGATTTTACTTTTCTCAATATCGTCTGATTCTTATCAGTTGGGTCTTTACCCTGTAACAATGTATTTTATCAATAAGATTCACAGTTGTTTTATTTTTATATAAATTTAATGTTGATAACAATTCCAATACGTTCGGTAAGCGTTTAATTTGTGTTTCTACAGTAAGAATAACTATTTTGTTTTAAATCACTTTTTGAAATAGCTTATGCAGAAATGATAATATAATTTTTAAGAATACCATCAATGTGAGGTCCAAGCATTAACTAAGATTAATTCTCGAATGCCTCAGCTTTTACTTTACAATTAACAATTATCATAAAAATTCACCATTGCAACACATTCATAAAATACTGACATTGAAGTCGTCTAAACTGTACTGGCCTTTAAAATATTTCATATCGTACCTGGATATTCTTTCTGTCTGTAACGGTGAGTAATTCAAAGCCTGTTTCACAATCAATAATAGGATCAGGATGCAAATACTTCTTGACTGCCACAAAATTCTTCACTATGGCTTTACGGAAAATCTCATTTTCACAAGACTCTGCCATCTCCAGCTTTCTTAAATATAGAATTATAATTTACCATTTATTAAACAATCTACAATTAACACAGTATGGTTTGCTTGACAACATGTTTAGTGTATTAAAGATAGTTGATTTCTTAAGCGATGCAAATACATATTATACTTATAATAAATAAAATATTGAGAAATATCGTTGAAAGAAAATGCATATTGTCACTTTTCGTATTTTCATTGTAAAACATTGTTTTTTATTTCATCGCCAATCATCAAAACATATTTTCAATATTTTCACTGATGTCTTGCCGAACAACTTTCGGCTAAATTTAGCCAATACACAATATGTAAGGGAAGGTCAATCAAATTTTAATGTTTAAAAAGAGAGAACAAAATGTGGTATGAAAAATATCATATATCACTTATGGCTCATGAAATATTTATTTCGATGAAATAAATCCTGTTTTAATATATTTAAACTAGAAATGTGTCTTCACGCCACGGATGCCCCCGCATGCAGCCAAAATTTCAGATGTTATAATATTTAGTTCCAAATTTGTTTGCACAGATTATTTCTTTTCATGTTTAAGTTCAAAGCCCTTAAAACTTTTCAATGTTAACAGAAACCATTTTTATACAAAGATCAAGACACTGAAACTTATATTATTGAGTGTTAATCTTTTGTAAATTGCATAGAATGCATATTTGTAGCCAAAATAATGGCTACATACATGTCCACATAAGTATGAGTGCTGAAACTGAAAATTCAAAATTTTTCCAACATTCAAGAAAGATAACTTTGTCCAAAATCATTGAACCACGACCTAATTCAACCTTGAACTGCTTATTCGTAAGACGTATCTATATGTCAAATTTGAGTTTAATGTGTACAACCATTGGGAAGATAATGAAAGGAAAATTAAAATGTCTGATTTTTTTCAAAGTTCAAGAGGGATGACTTTGTCAGTGTCACAGGGTGAGAAAAATGTGCAGCCTGACCGGGACTCGAACCCGGGACCCTCGGAATACCGTACCGCGGCTCTACCGACTGAGCTATCCGGCCGCTTACACATCATCTCCCCTAAATAGTTAACAGTTCTGAACCGTGACATACTCCCCTGCTTTATTGAAATTCGTCCTCGAATTTCACAGAGTTACAGAGCAATGTAAATTAAACTCTGAGCTATATCAGTCACGGTCCCCCGTTGGGCGCCAAATGTCACAGGGTGAGAAAAATGTGCAGCCTGACCGGGACTCGAACCCAGGACCCTCGGAATACCGTACCGCGGCTCTACCGACTAAGCTATCCGGCCGCTTACACATCATCTCCCTTAAATAGTGAACAGTTCTGAACCGTGACATCAGCTATCATCAAACCATGACCATATTTGAAACTGACCAATGCATTCTTATGACATATCCATATCTTTAATTTACAGCTGTTGGGGAGATAATGAATGGGAACTGAAAATTTCCTCTCTTTTTCAAAGTTGAAGGGGCATTATTCTGCCAAAAATCATCAAATCATAACCAAATTCGAACTTGACTTGTATTTACTCATGACATATCCGTGTGTGAAGTTTGAGTTGAATGTGTAATACAGTTGGGGAGATAATGAATGGAAACTTAAAATTTCATATTATTTTCAAAGTAAAAGGGGCATTACTCTGCAAAAAATTATCAAACCATGACCAACAAACTAAACGACCTGTATTTTTTTATGACATATCCATATGTCAAGTTTGAGTTAAATGTGTTATACCGTTGGGGGGATTATGAACGGAAACTGGAAATTTCCTATTATTTATTATTATAGTGGTGTTCAACCTAACGTAGTGGCAGTTTTTTGTGAGCACGAGGACAAATTGCTGATTAAAATTATCCAGACAATATTCCTACTGTTTTCCATTGCGAAAAACACAGTGTTAGCTGACATTTTTATGCTTATTGGTATGTTTCATGCAATTAAGAAGTTATAAAAGGAATAGACACTTAAAACAGTTAGTTAGGTACATTTTCACGAGAGAATCTTGTGTCTGCACCGGCGAGATAAGTCGTGCAACCTGTTTTCGCGAGCAGGTCTGGTTGTATATTTTGAAGTATCGTAATGGCGGAGGGCTTTAATAAGGATCTTGCTGACGCCCACTCGTATGTAGACTTAGTAATGAATAACTTTAATGTGCCTACAGCTCCTATTACTCCTGTAAATGGCAGGAAGCGTCATCACAGCGACTCTTATAGTGACCCTCAGGAGTACGGCAGTAAAAAGAAAAGCAAAGTGGAAGAGACTACTCAGGATTCACTGACTCCAAAAGTAAGTTACAAAAATGACGTTTCATGTGATATAATGTCAGCAAGAAGACTATTATATGGCAATACCCCAAAATCAAAGGCAGGTCAGCATATGGCGACCTCTGAATTCGTTCATGAAAGTGACAGTTTTGCTACTCTGTCTAGTCTAGTTGTGAAATTGAATGATAACATAGCTGGCCTAAGTGACAGTCTAAATCAAAGACTCGACCGACTAGAGGACACTCTGGAGGCTAAAATTGTACATAAGATAGCCAGTATATCTGATAAAAGGATTAACGTTGAAATGAATAAGGTAAACAGGATTTTGAGTCAAAGATTCAGTACTTAAAAGATGAGATAGCAACAGACATGGAAATTATTGAAGAAAAAGTCTCCGAACTTAAAGATAGGGTAAATGAAGGTGAAACTTACTGTAATAAGCAATCCCTTAAAATTGTTATTCGAGGGCTGCAGTATCATGATGGTGAAAACGTGAATACAAAGGTAAATAACCTATTAAAGGATGGTGTTTGCCTGCCTAATATAAGGGTCGTCAATGCTATTCGAAAATCAAATGCTTTGGTAGTTTAGCGCGGAGGAAGGTAGTCAAGTACTGGTGTAACTCTCCAGGAACGATGGTTAGGAAACTACCCGCCTATATGACTGAAATACTGTTGGAAAAAGGCGTAAAATGACACAAACAAACAAACAGACTCCAGATCAAAACCAGGGCTAATCATTGCAACCTTCCTGACAGAGGATGATAAAAATAAGGTTCTTAAACATAAAAAGATGTTAAAAAACTCTAATCAATATAAACGTTTTTTTCATAGATAGAGACTCACCGGCAAATGAGAGGACTCAAAATAACAATTTGCGCACTCTTGTCAGGTGTCTACGCGATCAGGGCTATGATATTAAATTTCATGGCAATAAGATCTTTGACAACGCCTCTGAGAACAACCGACATAATTACACAAAACAATCTGACAGTAGTCGCCCGGATGAGTATTCGAAACAGGAAAGTGGTCATTCCAGGAAGAATTCTATTGGACAGGAATTATGATAGGAATTCAAGAAATACTAACAACAGAGATAGAAGTGACTATAGTGGAATAGCCATACAAATTTTAATAACCATATAAAAGAAATGACAGACATGGTTCTTTTTCAGGTAGACAGGACAGTGATTATGCTAGAAGTAATGTGAATAAAAATCGAAGGGAACAGCGTAACAACCGACATTAATTATCAGCAGGTTTCTGGATTGTTCGAGGGTGGTGCAAAGATTCCTCTTCAGATAATTTTACTTTAAGAAACAATTGTATACAATATTTAGATTTAGACATAATAGGTATATCAGAAACACATTTATTGGGTAATGATACTATTGAGCTCCAAAACTTTACATGGTTTGGGCAAAATAGAAAAAATATACACACAAAAGCATGGCATGGCTCAGGTGGAATAGGTTTTTTAATTAAAACTGACTTATTATGTGAATTTTATATTTATTTCAAACAATGCTCATGAAGGTATACTTTGGTTAAAAATGATTCATAGATTTTTTGATTTAACTCTTTGTCCATGTGTATGCTATCTTCTTCCGGAAAATCCAACACGTTGTGTCGATGGTAACTACTTTTATGATTTATTATTGCAAGGAATTTATGATTACAAAAATGTAGGTCTGGTCATGATATGCGGTGATTTTAACAGTAGATGTGGGGATAATGATGATTTCATTGCCGGGGTAGATATGATTCCTAATAGGCAATTAGTTGATTTTAAAAGTAATGCACATGGTGAGCTTTTTAATGCAATTTTTAATTGACTGTAACTTTTGTATGTTAAATGGTCGAAACTATGAGGTAAATGATTATACATCAATATCTTCAAAAGGTTGTTCAGTTGTGGATTATTGTTTAGTAAGTCACGATAATTTAGATTATTTTGAAAAATTTTAATGTTATTCATGTATCAGATTTACTTACTAGACTTAATATTAGTTCATGTTTTGCTACTAATGTACCAGATCATTCTTTATTATGTTGGAGGTTTTGAAAATAAATCCATCTATTGCTGATTGTAAACATGTAAATGATAATGAAAGCAGATATGTAAAATTTGATTTGAAATCAATACCATCTGAATTTATGTTAGATCATGATACATTAGAACAAGTCAATATTTTTATTAATAATATTGAGCAGGGTATGAGAACACAAAGTGATATTGATACAGTGTATGGTGGTTGGTGTGAACTGATCCAAACAAATATGTATAATAAAGTTCCCTATAAAGTTATTAACTCTATGAATTATGCAAAAAAGTTTAAAAATAAGCCTTGGTGGAAATCAAATCTGAATGACCTATGGCTTAACCTATGTGAGGCAGAGGGAAAATGGTTAAAATGTAAAAATAGAGCATTACAAATTGAGTATAAGCACCAATATAGATATTTAAGAAAAGATTTTGATAGAAAAATGCAACGTTGTAAACGATTGTATTGGAATGATACGCAAAATAAATTGTTGAATGAAGTAGACAAAAATGACAACTCATTTTGGAAGAGTATTGGTAAAATTGGAATTAATAATGACCGTAAGAAAGGCATACCAATGCAAGTCGTATTAGATGATGGTAGTATCTCATTTGATGTCAAAACTATTTTGTTAAAATGGAAAGATGATTTTTGCAATCTTTTGAACATTTATAATACTGTTGATGATGAAACAATCCATGTACC